CATTATGTTTTTAAAAAAATGTGAAGATTTTGAAATCGCAAAAGAAGTCATCTTGGATATGATTAGGGTTTGCCTTTGTCAATACGATGATGATTTGACTACCAGTACAAGTTCCGATTGTCAAACCTCCTTAAGCAGGCTTATGGCGCGATTGAAAAATATTGACTTAGATCATACGGTGAAACTCAGCTGTATGGATGACGACCAATTAATTTACAAAACTGAAGAATATCATACTGCGGGTATTGATTTTTTTGTTTGGTTGGATGATAAAATAGCTCAGTTGCGACAAAAATCAATGAAAATTAAAGAAATCAATAAAAATTTATATTTTTATCCACCATTTATACCTGAATTTAGAAGAATTCTTGGAAAACTTCCATTGTGGTCTAATCTGTTATGTCCATTTTTCAAAATTGATAATACTGCTCCATCATCGTCAGGAATTGAGAGCTACTTCAAAACTTTGAAACAATTGCTTTTCAAAACAAAATTACTAAAGTACCGAATTGATGAATTTGTAAAAATACATTCTAATTACTTGAATACAGAAATTGCACTTGCTACAAGTGATCTTGTTAATGATACACAGAATAAAGATACTAAACGCCCTCGAAAAAGGAAGCATTCACTTACAAAATCTCAAACGGAGGTGAAAAAAAGAAAAATATCAAAATCTTTAAGATCAAAGAAAATTAATCGGTCATTTACTACTGAATCAATATTTTCTGATCGTCCTTCCTTCGTCGAAAATTGGAGAGGTGAAGCAGAAACTAATGTGATATCAACAAAATTAAAAATAAAATTTGTAAAAAATGGCAATTTATGCGATGCTGTAACTATCGGCAAAAGTTCCACTAAAGTGGGTTTGCAAAACACGTGTTGCTTTGATTCAGTCATGCATTTTTTATGTGTGGCATATATTCAAAGTAGAAATTTTCAAGCAATAATAAACACATATTCTGACGATTTAATTCCTCAATATATTAAACTTTTATCAGATCCTGGTTCTAGTGACTGTGATATATACAGAATGAGATCGGAAATCGGCGTGCTGTATTTTGATAGAAGAGACAGCCGCTGTGAATTTGCTTGCAATGTGTCCTTCATTTTTGAACATATAGCTTTGAAGTATTGTTTTAGTGCAATTTGGAATAAGAAGTGTACTAATGATTCATGCGAATTTACCCCAATATCTAGACAGATCGCTTTTTTGCCTTTAAATCTGAATATAATTTGTGTTTTTGGAATCCAAAGTTTAGAAGAGGCAATTTGTATTGTAGAAGAAAATAACGTTTGCACATCTTGTAACCACCAAACAGTGTGTAAATATACTGTAGCAAAAACAGTGTCATTTGAACTAAATGTTTCTACGAGGTTTAGAGTAAACGAGGTACCAGAAACTATAATGATTTCAAGTAGCTTATATACTTTAATAGGCGTTATAGAATTTATCCCTGCGATTAGCGAAGCTGGAATGGGTCACTATAAATGTCACTACCCAGCGAATGATGAGATGTTTTGTTATGACGACTATGATTCTCACTGTAAAATTCATAGAAGCACCGACCAACCAATATTAATTCATTCTTTAACTTATGTCGAAATTGACTAGATACTAAATATCCTAAACCTATGAAGAATCTTTGTACCGAATATTGTCGAAAAATTAAATTTCAAAAATGAATCATCCTAGTTTAATTCATATAACATGGTCACCCTAAATAGCGAATTCGTAAGGAATATTCAGAAGTGATTTGTTTTTCAGATACCGAACATATACAATGTTGATCTGTGCATATGTATTTAGTAGACCGTTTATACTAAATGTTAGTGTCTCTGGTATTTTATTCCGTTTTGATCTCAGGTAGGTACAGTCAATTATTTATTATGCAGACGTCACGATTGAGGAGCCAAATGAAATGCATTTATTAATTAAATTCGCTCAGTCTACTACTTTGTCCATATACTACAAATTCGAACACACTTACTACTAAATGTCTTTAGAGTGGAATATAAATTGACCAATAACTTTCATGGCAATTCATGCTCTTGTGTATAGATCGAGGAGCCACATTAAAAGTATTGTATATTCTTGAATATAAACAATACTGGGCTCAAATTTTTAGTAGACACTATACACAATTGCTACTAAATGATACAAAATTTTCAAAAATATACATGAAATACTTTCCGTGTTTCAGGTGGCTCCTCAATTCAGATGTTTGGATTGAGGAGCCACATTCACAGTTACATAACTTTAGACATATTATACTACAAATTTCAGAATTCGGTCTACAAAATTATTTACTTCCCTACTAAATAAGGGGGCGAGCTTCCTTTTTAAATCGAAAGTGGCTCCTCAATCCATACGGACATTAAATATCGACCTAATGATAGTTCATTGATATTTTTTTTAATATTTTTAGTAACGAATTTATGGACATTAGCAGGTGAACTTAGTACAATATTTTGTCATTGTATTTTCGAACTAATATCAAAACGATAAAGTTGATAATCAAATAAAGGAGTTTGAGGAAAACAGATAGTTCGATATGATGGGATATTTCGCTAAAGGGGATAGACAGGATTAGGTACACAAAATAAACACAAACGAATTAAAATCAATACATTTATTTTGAATGAAATTATCAGCTAAACAATTACACTTAAAAAATAATGACTATTTACTCTGACTTATAATATTTGCAGGCCGCGATTTGTAGTAACAAAATAACTTATTTACTGTAACAAACATAGCATCATGCCTTTTATCCCCGAAGTGGTAGGCAGAGGTGCACATTACGGCACTCAATGCCACTGTACGATGTAACACCCACTTTTCACTATTTATGTTATGAGTCCCATGTAATAGGGGGTGAGCCTATTGCCATATACCGGGCACATTTCCAGACTCCGTGCTACTACGGGTTTATGAAATATTTGTCAGTGGTAGCACGGATGTTAGAATTGTGCCCGGTATATGGCAATAGGCTCACCCCCTATTACATGAGATTCATAACATAAATAGTGAAAAGTGGGTGTTACATTGTACAGTGGCATTAAGTGTCGTAATGTGCACCTCTGCCTTCGGGGATAAAAAGTGATGTTATGTTATTTTAATAAAACTTTTCTTATAACTGTGTATTTAAGATTTATATATTGACCTGGAAGGGTGGCTCTTTCTTTGACTTGTACAAATCTTATACTATTATACATATAAAGCGGAAGATTTTGTTTTTTTGTTTGTTTGTTTGAACGCGCTAATCTCCGTAACTACAAGTCTGATCTGAATAATTCTTTTTGTGTTGGATAGCGCATTTATCGTGGATGGCTATATGCTATAAAACATCACGCTACGACCAATAGGAGCTGAGCAGAGCTTGTGAAACCGCGCGGAAGTAGCTAGTGAAATTATAAGTCAGAATAATTAAAAGCTAAAATCTAATAATACTATTACAATGAAATCAATTTTGGCATCACATTTTACCAATTATGAAATTAAAACCTATAAGGTCGACTTACCCTGCAAACTTGTTATTGACAAAGTAAAATTTTACTTTAAAACATGCGAAAAATATAGCTTCCCCAAAATGTACACAGGCTTAAAATCAAACATTTTTTGAGACACATTTTGTTCGAGATTAGGGCCCATCCATAAATAGGGTAGTATCCTAAATTTTATTTTAATATCCGTCTGGTAGATTATTTTAAAACATTAGACACGTATTTTTTCTTTTCTCACAAAATTAAATGCTTTCGACGATATATTGATTTGAAATGTCGTGTGACGTCACAGCGTGCAACAAAATGTGGCACGTTGTGACGTAACGACCTCCCACTCCTAAACTTAACTCCATTTTATCTGAGTATTGTAACTTTATGCAACAAAATAAAAAAAATACGTGTCTAATACTTTTTCATTATCTAACTGACGGACTAATTAGATTTCTAATTTTCTTACCCCGGTAACTACCCAATCGGGTACTTGCCAACTAGTCAAATTCAATAAGTACTTTTTTCGAACTGTCAAAAACGAGTTTTCTATGAATTTTGTACGAGATTGTGTATTGTGACGTCTTGTTTATTAAGCGTCAAACAGCATACTTATTTCTTAAAACATTGCTGAAAATATACTAAAATTAAGTTGATCATAAAATCAATTAATGAAAGTGTGATTTTTTTTAAAATTTCATTGTATTGAACATTCGAAATTACTTTTTAATATATTTGATAAACATTTTTAAAGTACCCAATTACGTCACACGTGAAGGGGGAGGGAGGGATCATCGCGTGACATCATATTTTAAATATTATAACAATTTGTGTTAAAATACGAACTTTAAACTATTAATTTACGAAAGCTTCAAAAACTAATACCAACTATATCTGTGTGAATATAAGATACCGGTGGCCCGGTGGTTTACGACGCCCGCTTCTCATGCATGAGGGTGCGTGCTCGACACCTACCAACGGCAAGTACCAATGTGACTTTTTCCGAGTTACATGTACTTTCTAAGATTATCTAGACACCACTGACAAACGGTGAAGGAAAAACATCGTGAGGAAACCTGGGCATTATTATCATTTGCAATAAGTTTGAAATCGCCAACCCGCATTGAGCAAGCGTGGTGATTAATGCTCAAACCTTCTCCGTGTGAGAAGAGGCCTTGCTCAGCAGTGGGCATTTATTTAAGACGCCTGCTTCTCATGCATGAGGGTGCGAGTTCGAAACCTACCAATGGCAAGTGCCAATGTAACTTTTTCCAAATACTTTCTAAGATTATTTAGACACCACTGACAAACGGTGAAGGAAAACATCGTGAGGAAACCTGGACTTATAATTTATAATTATAAGTTTGAAATTGCCAACCCGCATTGAGCAAGCGTGGTGATTAATGCTCAAACCTTCTCCGTGTGAGAAGAGGCCTTGCTCAGCAGTGGGCATTTATAGGCTGTTGATGTGATTACGATGATGACATTAGGTTTAAATAAGACAGTTATTCCATCAACATCGGATCGTCCAGCTGTAGTTGCACCATCTGGTTGCCGTTAACCAAAACCCCGTCTCGCAGTAACAACTGAACGTTTAAATCTGATAATTCCTGAAAACAAAAAGAAATCTAATATATAAAATTCTCGTGTCACAGTTTCGTTGCTCCTAGCTTTACTGACGGACTGACTGACAGACTATTATTTATTTTGGATTTGTTGACGTTTCAATATCTTTATATATATAATTCTTCTGTGAGTGTGTATGTCACTGAACTTCTCTCAAACGACTGGACCGATTTTGATGAAAAGTTTTGTGTGTGTTCAAGGGGATCTGGGAATGGTTCAGATTCACAAATCAGCCCGGCAGATGGCGCTGCAGTCGATGTTTAGGTTATTTATCCTAAACGGCTGAACTAATTTGAATAAATTTTTGTTTATACATTCAAGTGGATATGCAGGACAACGTCTGTTGGGTCCGCTAGTAATTTTATATTATGGTTTAATTGAAATTAATGCTTTGACTCACCTCTCCGCTCACAATGGGGTAGGTAGTGTTCTCATGTGGCGCAGTTTCGCCTCGCTGCAGTATTTTCGGTCGCCGCGGGTTTTTGGCGATACCACGGCCACGGCGAGCCGGTTGAAATTCATCGACTGAAATGATTTATATTTTTTAAATGATCTTCATATTTTAAAATGAAATGAAACTATTATAAATAAGATAACATAACATTACGCCTTTTTATGGTAATACTTTGGCCGACTCTGGAATCGAACCCGAGACCTCTTGCCAGGCAGGCCCAGCGAGCAGCAAGCTGTTGGCGGGGCATGGTCGTGTCCAGTGGGGGCGCCGCTAGGGGCCACGCTTGAGCCGGGGGGAGCCCGGCGAGCGGCGGGCTGGTAGCGGCGCGCGGTCGTGTCCGGTGGGTCGGTCGGTGCGACCAGGTCTCGTGGGAGGCCGTCGGAGGGGCGCCGGTGTTAGGGCGCCAGCTCCCGGAGATGGTCGTGTCGCGACCGATCGGAGCGGTCGAGGAGTGTGGTGCTCAGGCGCTGCACGAATGCGTCGACGCTCTCTACGCCGAGGTCTCGGGCGATTGTCGCGTACGTTTCGGACACGAGCGCATACCATGCCGGGGCGGCGTAGGTGAGCCGTGTCCGAATGTAGGCCTTGTAGATGCCGAGCTTCGCACGGAGAGGTAGCGCCGAGTCGATCACCGGGCGCAGGAGGTGACGCGTCCATGGTCACGCCGAGGTATTTAACGCTCGGCGCCCACCGGACCTGCTCTCCCATGAGCGTCATGGGTGTCGGCTTCATGATCCCCACGGCGAGCGCCTGGGTCTTGGCCACGTTCACAGCCAGTCTCCACTTCTCCAGCCATTCAGGGAGTGCATCTAGGGCGCGCTGTAGTTTGACTACTGCGTGCCTCGGGTTCAGCGACGTCGTGTAGTAGGCGGCGTCGTCGGCGTACAGCGCTAGTTTGACGCCGTTCACGACGGGGATGTCGTCCGTGTACACGCAGTAGCACACGGGTGAGATGCAGCTTCCCTGGGGCACGCCGGCACGGATGTTCCGCTCGGTCGACAGAGTGCCTTCCACTGCCACTTGGAAGGTTCTGTCGTGCAGGAAGGTGGCCACGATCTTAACTAGTCGTCGAGGAGTAGTAGATGTGGCCAGCTTGCTGAGCAGACTCACGCGACGAGTGCCGGAATTGTTGACAGCGGTGGCACTGTGCCGGACCTTTCATGCCTCGATTTTGATTCCAGGCATGCAAAGTAACTCCGTCACTCCGTGGTGGTATTTTAATTTGGTGTAGTATATAATTTTTTTTTTTAGGACGCGTTTGGCGTCAGGAGCAGGGGAACCGCGGCCGCATAAGTCGTCGGCGACGCAGTGAACGGTGGCAGGATGGGGGGGGGGGGGGGGGCAGAAGCGATCTTGTCCGGGGATGCGGAATACATGGGCGCGGTACACGGGGGCGCGGCATTTGGGGCCGCAGCGCGTGTGCGGTCGGAAGTCCCAGCTAGGACCTCTTGGGACGTTGCGTACGTGGCGGGGCCGACGATGTTGCGGGCCCACTGGTAGGCTGCATGCGGGTGTCGCAGGGACGGGGGCAGGGGCGGGGGGTGCGGGCAGTTATGTTATGACAATTTAAAGTAAATACTATACAGCACAGAATGACAAAGGTACGCACGCATCCTGGCCGGCGTGGGTTTGATGCAGGCGACGTGAGTGCGCGGGACGGTACTCAGCGCCGACAGGGCGCGCGCTGTCGACGGGATCACACTCGACGTACCCTGGGAACAAATTAGTTAAAAATATTATTTTTTCTATTTTAAAAACGTTGCCCAACACTAGGGTTGTCTCATATATCGTGTGTGCGTTTACAAACATACAAGTTCACATTTGTGGATCCCACAAAGTGTTGTTCCGTGCGGGAATCGAACCCGCGACACATTGCACGGCAGCCGGTTGCCCAGCCACCGCACCAACCGTGCAGTCATTTTAAATCTAGTTAACTAGTCAATTCCTAACACTGGGCTCTTTCCTATTCATCTGTTATTTAAGTTGAATATCCTACAACCCTTTTTGATAAAATTATGCAGTCCTGCTTACCTTGGAAAAGGACATTTTAGTAATCTCTATGAGTTTGTCGTGTGGTACGTTTTGTAACGCGAGCGTCTTCATGATCTCTTCCGAAGTCGGGTTCAGGCCTTCCATCTGGAAAACATATTAATTTTATGTTAAAATGTTGAACTATAAAGACTTCACTATAAACTATATATTACTAGCGGACCCGACAGACGTTGTCCTGCATATTCACTTGAATGTATAAACAAAAATTCATTCAAATTAGTTCAGCCGTTTAGGATAAATAACCAAGACACCGACTGCAGTGCCATCTGCCGGGCTGATTTGTGAATCTAAACCATTCCCAGATCCCCTTGAACACACACAAAAAAGTGTTTCAGAGATTACACCAGTCGTTTGAGAGAAGTTCAGTGACATACACATTCACAGAAGAATTATATATGTATATAAAGATTTTGCAAATGAATGCTGACTTGTAACTGCTGAACTGCCTCGTTGGCCGAGTGGTCGCATGTGTGTCTGCCTGGCAAGGAGTCACAGGTTCAATTCCCGCATCAGGTAAAGTATCGTATTACTGGGGTTTTGAAAAATTCTCAGTTGTAGCACGGAGTCTGGAATTGTGCTCGGTATATGGCAATAGGCTCACCCCCTATTACATGGGACTCATAAATGGGTGTTACATTGTACAGTGGCATTAAGTGCCGTAATGTGCACCTCTGCCTACCCCTTCGGGAATAATGGACGTGATGTTAAGTGATGTACAGAACATTATTTTCCAAGAGTGGTGCCATATTTATTCTTTGGGAAGGTGGACGCCCTTTTAGTTCGATCATTAAGGAGGATATATGGGGGTTGCAAAGCTTTCCGAAAGTCCGATTTTCATTTTGCACCCTCGTACATGCGCCGCTCGCGTCGCCATCTTGGAAAAATGGCGGCCAAAAACAGTTTTTTTGCAATATCTCTTTTCCTGTGTTACTTGGAGATAATAGAGCTCTGCTTACCTCAACAACAACAATAGTAGCGGGATGTTTGAGTCTGAGATGTGTCCTCAGATCGGATCGAATCCGGAACCGTTTGGGGCACCGTCCACAGGCCCAGGCGCGGACGCCGGTGTGGATGAGGCGGTGGTTGCGCATCGCTGTCGATCTGGGGGTAGACAGAGATGTTCGTAGAGAAGCCAGCTTAGCCAACTAACCTAACATGAATTTAGACACTTGCAAATAATTATCTTATTGTTATAATAGCTTCTGATAGCGGCCTTGCCCGCGTTCTCGTAGAATAAAAGTGACCTATGTGTTATTCCACACCATAATCTATATTTATTCCAAAATTCACCTCGAACCCTTTAGTCGTTTTGAGCTGAAAGAGACATACAGAGAGATACAGACACACACGATAACACGCACACATTTTATACACACGTACACATACACACACTCACATAAGCAGTCACAAACTTTCGCATTTACAATACTAGTATATGGGGTCCACCTCCTGAAGGCGACCCCGCAGACGTCGCAGGGGAAGGGCCGCTCCCCCGTGTGCACCCGCAGGTGCTCGTTGCGCATCGACAGCGTGCGGAACGGGCTCTAAACTGTACAATACTAGTAGCATCACCCCTACCTCCTGAAGGCGACCCCGCAGACGTCGCAGGGGAAGGGCCGCTCCCCCGTGTGCACCCGCAGGTGCTCGTTGCGCATCGACAGCGTGCGGAACGGGCTCTAAACTGTACAATACTAGTAGCATCACCCCTACCTCCTGAAGGCGACCCCGCAGACGTCGCAGGGGAAGGGCCGCTCCCCCGTGTGCACCCGCAGGTGCTCGTTGCGCATCGACAGCGTGCGGAACGGGCTCTAAACTGTACAATACTAGTAGCATCACCCCTACCTCCTGAAGGCGACCCCGCAGACGTCGCAGGGGAAGGGCCGCTCCCCCGTGTGCACCCGCAGGTGCTCGTTGCGCATCGACAGCGTGCGGAACGGGCTCTAAACTGTACAATACTAGTAGCATCACCCCTACCTCCTGAAGGCGACCCCGCAGACGTCGCAGGGGAAGGGCCGCTCCCCCGTGTGCACCCGCAGGTGCTCGTTGCGCATCGACAGCGTGCGGAACGGGCTCTAAACTGTACAATACTAGTAGCATCACCCCTACCTCCTGAAGGCGACCCCGCAGACGTCGCAGGGGAAGGGCCGCTCCCCCGTGTGCACCCGCAGGTGCTCGTTGCGCATCGACAGCGTGCGGAACGGGCTCTAAACTGTACAATACTAGTAGCATCACCCCTACCTCCTGAAGGCGACCCCGCAGACGTCGCAGGGGAAGGGCCGCTCCCCCGTGTGCACCCGCAGGTGCTCGTTGCGCATCGACAGCGTGCGGAACGGGCTCTAAACTGTACAATACTAGTAGCATCACCCCTACCTCCTGAAGGCGACCCCGCAGACGTCGCAGGGGAAGGGCCGCTCCCCCGTGTGCACCCGCAGGTGCTCGTTGCGCATCGACAGCGTGCGGAACGGCTCTAAACTGTACAATACTAGTAGCATCACCCCTACCTCCTGAAGGCGACCCCGCAGACGTCGCAGGGGAAGGGCCGCTCCCCCGTGTGCACCCGCAGGTGCTCGTTGCGCATCGACAGCGTGCGGAACGGGCTCTAAACTGTACAATACTAGTAGCATCACCCCTACCTCCTGAAGGCGACCCCGCAGACGTCGCAGGGGAAGGGCCGCTCCCCCGTGTGCACCCGCAGGTGCTCGTTGCGCATCGACAGCGTGCGGAACGGGCTCTAAACTGTACAATACTAGTAGCATCACCCCTACCTCCTGAAGGCGACCCCGCAGACGTCGCAGGGGAAGGGCCGCTCCCCCGTGTGCACCCGCAGGTGCTCGTTGCGCATCGACAGCGTGCGGAACGGGCTCTAAACTGTACAATACTAGTAGCATCACCCCTACCTCCTGAAGGCGACCCCGCAGACGTCGCAGGGGAGGGCCGCTCCCCCGTGTGCACCCGCAGGTGCTCGTTGCGCATCGACAGCGTGCGGAACGGGCTCTAAACTGTACAATACTAGTAGCATCACCCCTACCTCCTGAAGGCGACCCCGCAGACGTCGCAGGGGAAGGGCCGCTCCCCCGTGTGCACCCGCAGGTGCTCGTTGCGCATCGACAGCGTGCGGAACGGGCTCTAAACTGTACAATACTAGTAGCATCACCCCTACCTCCTGAAGGCGACCCCGCAGACGTCGCAGGGGAAGGGCCGCTCCCCCGTGTGCACCCGCAGGTGCTCGTTGCGCATCGACAGCGTGCGGAACGGGCTCTAAACTGTACAATACTAGTAGCATCACCCCTACCTCCTGAAGGCGACCCCGCAGACGTCGCAGGGGAAGGGCCGCTCCCCCGTGTGCACCCGCAGGTGCTCGTTGCGCATCGACAGCGTGCGGAACGGGCTCTAAACTGTACAATACTAGTAGCATCACCCCTACCTCCTGAAGGCGACCCCGCAGACGTCGCAGGGGAAGGGCCGCTCCCCCGTGTGCACCCGCAGGTGCTCGTTGCGCATCGACAGCGTGCGGAACGGGCTCTAAACTGTACAATACTAGTAGCATCACCCCTACCTCCTGAAGGCGACCCCGCAGACGTCGCAGGGGAAGGGCCGCTCCCCCGTGTGCACCCGCAGGTGCTCGTTGCGCATCGACAGCGTGCGGAACGGGCTCTAAACTGTACAATACTAGTAGCATCACCCCTACCTCCTGAAGGCGACCCCGCAGACGTCGCAGGGGAAGGGCCGCTCCCCCGTGTGCACCCGCAGGTGCTCGTTGCGCATCGACAGCGTGCGGAACGGGCTCTAAACTGTACAATACTAGTAGCATCACCCCTACCTCCTGAAGGCGACCCCGCAGACGTCGCAGGGGAAGGGCCGCTCCCCCGTGTGCACCCGCAGGTGCTCGTTGCGCATCGACAGCGTGCGGAACGGGCTCTAAACTGTACAATACTAGTAGCATCACCCCTACCTCCTGAAGGCGACCCCGCAGACGTCGCAGGGGAAGGGCCGCTCCCCCGTGTGCACCCGCAGGTGCTCGTTGCGCATCGACAGCGTGCGGAAGGCGTGGCCGCACACCGGGCACGCGTGCGCCCGCCGCCCGCACCCACCGCCCGCGCCGCCCGCACTGCCCGCCCCACCCGGGGTCGGCGCGGCGCCGGCGTGGGCTTCTCTGTACGACAATATAATTCATGTTTCATCGGCCTCCCTTAAATATCGACCTAACATAAGTGACGAACCGAGACATTTTTTTTTAAGGAGGGAAAATCATAGAATTACTCCAGGGAGTGTCAGACTCTTACTGACTAAACACCACCCCGTTCCTTCTCCTGCACGTCGAGCCGGAGCCCCGGTAACCCGTTAGGTGCTCCGCGACGACCCGAGTGTATAGGTTGCTTATGGGCCGACGAGCTCCATCGTAGACCGCATCATCACTTACCACCAGGCGAGATAGTGGTCAAAGGTCTGACCATCATACCCAAACTCGGAACAACAATCTGTAAATCACACAAAGAGTTGCTCTGTGCGGGAATCGAACCCGCGACACGTTGCGCGATAGCTATTCGCCCAGTCAATGCGTCAACAATATTTTTTTTACGCTTAGCGACACATTTAGCGGCTCATTTATATATTGCTAACATCTGCCCGCGACTTCGTACGCGCAATCCCGTTTTCTCCCGTTCCCGTGGATTTTCAAGATTATTTCTGCCTTAAGAACCTTCTCTTAATTATAACATTTTAAGTGTGAGAGAGCCATGCTTCGGCACGAATGGGCCGGCTCGACCGGAGTGATACCACGGCCTCACAGAAAACCGACGTGAAGCAACGCTTGCGTTGTGTTTCGTCGTCTGAGTGAGGTTACCGGAGGCCCAATTACCCTCCCCTTCTGCAATCTCTCCAATCCCTGAATCCCCAACGATCCTGAAACTCCTAATCCCCAAATGGCCGGTAACGCACTTGTAACGCCTCTGGTGTTCCAGGTGTCCATGGGCGACGCCGATTGCTTACCATCAGGTAATCCGTCTGCTCGTTTACCAGTTTATCCCATAAAAAAAACAAATACAACAAAAATTTGTGAAATCGTTCCAGGCATTGACGCGTAATGCCGTGACCAAGGGAAAAGGGGATTAATTTTTATATATATAATATATAGAAGATAAAAGATGTGTCAATAATTACAACTTACTTGACGTGTTTATGGAGATCAGCAGCGTGAGTGAAGGTAGCATGGCAGCGGGTACACGCGCCACCTCCAGAGTTCGATTCCTCGTTGCTGTAAGGACCTGGAAATATATTATTACCACAAACATAAGCAGAGATACAGAGGCATAATTACTGTGTAGTCCTTCAGTACCTCATTGGCTGAGTGGTCGCAAGTGCGACTACCTAGACCGTAAGTTTTATTGATTGTTTAATTTGTTTTTTTTTTTGTTTTTCTTCTAATTTATTTTATTGTACATCTACCACCCATTCCCAGATTCTTTTCAAAAATTCCATCCGAAGGTTGTCTGGAAGAAATCGCCGCGTGTGATAAGACCGCCCATTGTACATATACATATACATACATAACATCACGCCTTTTAGCCCCGAAGGAGTAGGCAGAGGTGCACACAGAAGTAACACCCACTTTTCACTATTTATGTTATGAGTCCCATGTAATAGGGGGTGAGCCTATTGCCATATACCGGGCACAATTCCAGACTCCGTGCTACTATTGTGAATTTTTGAAAATCCCAGTAATACTTTGCCCGACCCGGGAATCGAACCCGAGACCCCTTGCCCGGCAGTCGCACTTGCGACCACTCGGCCAACGAGGCAGTTGTACTCAAATTACTATTGCAATGTTTACAATTTTTATTTTCTGTGTGTGCAATAAAGTATTAAATAAATAAATACCAGTTTTACTGCTAGGTCGTGTCGTCCCATCGCTGTGTTCCTTCTTCCTGTGTTTGTATAACGCAGTCTTATTTGGTAGTACTTCGCTGCAGTCTCTGCAGGGTATCCTGGAAAACGAATTAATATAGCTTTACGCTATTATTACCTAGGGGGATATACAGATGTGTCTTGTGTAACTATTTCAGGTGCTTATACTACGCCTTATGAACACAAAATAATCTAATTTTAAATGATTGAACATTAAATAAAACGATAAAAATATCTAAATTTCCGGGCATAATTCCAAACTCTGGGCTACTGAGAGCTTTTTAAAAAACCCAGTAATTCTTTGCCCGACCTAAACCCGAGACCACTTGCTCAGCAGTCGCACTCGGCATACGAGGCAGTCAAAATATTGGTACAAGTGGCGCACGGATCTTTAGCGCTGACCTTCACTTGCGCAGAAGTCAAATATCGGGCTAATTTAGTAGTATGAAGTGAGATGCGGAGGCAGGAAGTGTCAGTGATTGGTTCGCCGTGCCATCGCGTCATAGACGTCACTCGTGATTCGTTTTCGGCGCTCGCTAAAACGATGACGATTGGCTCGCTAATGTATGGAATGCGCAAAGGGATCCCCACTATGACTTGAAGTTGAGCGTTGAAGATTTGTGCCGGCACTTGCATGAATACTATTATATAAAGCGGAAGAGTGTGTTTTTTTGTTTGTTTGTTTGAACGCGCTAATCTCCGTAACTACAAGTCTGATTTGAATAATTCTTGTGTGTAGTGATGGATAGCGCATTTATCGAGGATGGCTATAGGTAGGCTATAAAACATCACGCTACAACCAATAGTAGCGGAGCAGAGCGTGTGAAACCGCGCGGAAGTAGCTAGTATGATTATAAAATTGGTAAAGGGTACCTGTAATCATCCCTGCTGATCTTGCTGGTGGCTCCAGCATCGTCAGGTCCAGTCTTACCGTGGATCTTCTTACGGTGGTACGCTAGACTCCAACTGGGCAATAACAATAATGATATTAGACACGATATTAGCTCTAGTACCTTATAAGCTAAATCTATACTAATATTAATAATATTTTAGCTGTTATAGTAACTTGACATCACGTCTTTTAGCCCTGAAGGGGTAGCCAGAGGTATACATTATGCCACTGTACAATGTAACACCCACTTTTCTGTATTTATGTTATGAGTCCCACGTAATAGGGGGTGAGCCTATTACCTTATACTGGGCACATTTCCAGACTCCGTACTACTACTGAGATTTTTTTCTCGATACTCGAGTCCACTCTCTCTAGACAGAGACAGACTCGAGCCTTCGTGTTCTGGCCACGGTATTAAGCTGAGCTCCAGCCTTTTGCGCTGCAACACACCATAGGCTTTTTGTGTGTGTCGTGGCGAAATAAATAGTTTATCTTTCTTTAATATAGAAGAAATAATTTATAAATTGGCTTACCTATTAGGGAAGGTCAATTCACACTGGTTACATTTGTATAAAAAGTTTTCGTTCGCATGTTTCATACGCCGGTGTACTTGAAGGTATGTCCAGTGTAAGTAGGAACGCCCGCAATCCTGGTTGTAAACGGAAATATTGTGATTAAAAGGTAGACAGAGATATATTTATAGTAAATCGGGTACTTGCCAACTAGTCAAATTCAATACTTTTTTCGAACTGTCAAAAACGACAGTTTTCTATGAATTTTGTACGAGATTGTGTATTGTGTGTTGATTCAGTAATAATAATTGTAATGAGCCATTCTAAAGGTCGTCGCCGCGTCGCCGCGTCGCGGGTCGCGGAATATTACTCATGAATATGAGCCTCTCATGGCTTGGAAACTAGTCAAGTTCCTCGTCAAACAGTTCCGTGAGTACGGCGAAAAACTTATTACTAATTAATTTAGTATGTCTCACGAGAGTTATAATATAATGATCTGTCGTCGGCGGTTTTTCCGAACCGATATGACCTTAAAATCTAATAAAAGAGCGTATTCCTCTTTGAAAGGCCGGCAACACAGCTGTGACTCCTCTGGTGTTCCGAGTGTCCATGGGCGGCGCTAATCGCTTAACATCAGAGTGCTTACTCTTAAAACCAATCTCAGTATCAATGGAATTTAATCCAATAAAATCTCAATAATTACTCAATGCCAACACTATTAACCCTGTATGTAGCTGTTAAAATAGCATTTAGAGTACGGAATGTAAAACCAAACTCAATACCATTTAGTTCATTCAATATCCACGCATTACGCGTGCAATGGGCGCTAGTATTGCAACTCAAGAGTACGAAATTCCACAATACCAATGTCGATCGATCGGAATTGGATTCAAGAGTAAGCCCCCAGGTACGTCTGCTCGTTTGTCTCCTATTCCATAAAAATGTTAAGAATAGGGTAGATGCCTATTTTATTTTAATGTCCGTCTGGTAGATTATTTTAAATCATTAGACACGTATTTTTTATTTTCTTACGGAAACGAATACTTTCGACGACATATTGATTTGAAATGTCGCGTGACGTCACTTCTATGTACATTTTATACGTAGAAATGACGTTTTAGCCCCCATTCCTAAACTTTGATTCGTTTTATCTAAGTATTGTTTTATTATACGACAAAATAAAAAATACGTGTCTAATATTTTTTCATTACCTTACTTACGGACTAATTATATTTTTAATTTTCATACCCTGTCATCATCCCAATTATAATATTACCTCTAGTAAGATATAATACAATACTGACCTCACACAGGAAATGTTTGACAACTGGAAAGTCCCCGTATCCGAGTATACCAGTGGCGGACCTGTTGGCTCCGTCAGTGGCGGGCAGGCCGTCAGTCTTCTTGGCGTCCGCCAGGGAGCGCTTGTAGAAACCATGGGTCGTTTTGTGGGTCGTGCATCTGAAATCAAATTATACTTATTATTATAAATAACGACCACTATCAAATAAGTAATAATGTGCAGACGTCTGATAGAGTATAATGGAACAATAAGATGATAGTAAAATAACAGCCCCCCTTCCCCTGATTCCCCAACACTCCTAATTCCTAATCCTCAAACTGGTAACGCGCTTGTCCATGGGTGGCGACGATTGCTTACCATCAGGTAATCCGTCTGCTCGTTTAACCAGCTTATGCCATAAAATGTCATTATTTCTAATCATTAGTGAGTAGCTACAATTGGGTAGTGAATATGGTATGAAAATTAAAAATCTAATTAGTCCGTCAGTAAAATTTTCATAGAGGTAATCAATACTTAGATAAAATATAATATCACATGCACATCACACCCAGACCCGGAACAACAATTTGTGGATCACACACAGAGTTGCTCCGTGCGGGAGTCAAGCCACAGCACCAACCGTGCGTTCATAAATTACTTGGGCGCTACACAATTCATCGTATCTGGGCGTAATTTATATGTCAAATTCATATTTGTAAACACACACAAAAGGCCACAGTGGGACCGTGGAAAACAAAAACTATAATTTAGAAAAAATCATTAGAATGTATGTCATCATTGCGTCAGATAATAATCGAACCAGCAGCGATAGCCAAATGCCATTTAGCGCTTTCCGAAATTCCTAATCCAGAAGGCCGGTAACGCACTTGTAACGCCTCTGGTGTTCCAGGTGTCCATGGGCGACGCCGATTGCTTACCATCAGGTGATCCGTCCGCTCGTTTACCGACTTATCCCATAAAAAAACCAAATTATATGGAATTGACATAAATTTTGACACTTGTCAGTGTCATCCCCATACATTTTGATTTCTACTCTCTCGGTAGACAATCGCTAATGTGGCGTTTGGCTAAAGGCACTGAATCTGTTACCTGGAGTAAGTAGCGAAGCTGACTTTGCATATGTGGCAGGTGAACGGATTTTTCACGCCCTTGTGTATAGCGCGATGCGAGTTCAGACCGCTCTCTAGGTAAAATACACTGGAAGAATAGAAATTTGTTATAAAAATCAAATTGTTTGTTTGTTTTCTTACTAAAATGAATTCATAATTTTGCATTTTCAAAGGATTTAGAATTAAAATATTGTGATTTGCTGATGCATTTACTAAAAGTACCCTCAATGGAAGAGGATGCGTAAAGAGATTGATGAATATAGATGAAGCGAAAGAGGTATGTCAGAATCGGGTACTTGCCGACTAGTCAAATTTAATACTTTTTTCGAACTGTCAAAAACGAGTTTTCTATGAATTTTGTACGAGATGGTGTATTGTGACGTCACGTTTTTAGGGTCAAACAACATACTTATTTCTTAAAAATTTGCTGAAAAATACTAAAATTAAGTTGGTCACAAAATCAATTAATGAAAATGTGATTAAATTTTTTAATATTTTATTGTATTGAACAGTCGAAACAATTTGTTTTTGATCAAGGCAAGTACCCAATTGTGGCATTTGCTAATCTAGACATCGAATACTTATCAATAAATGACATTTCATTTCTAGAGTTACACAGGGTACTTTTTATCCCACGGCAACGCGGGCGGGCAGACAGAAGTATTTTATCGACAGGCCGATGTTACGGATAGTGGTGATGATAACTGTACGAGTTTTAGTACTTAAAGTCCGTACATTGATTTATAGTGAAGATGAAGTTGATGTAGTGTAGATAAACAAGTTTCACCCAATTGCACTAAGTAGTTAGTTTATTGCAATTAAATCCTTACTAATATTATAAATCGGGAAGTGAATTTGTTTGTTTGTTTGTTCCGCTTTCACGCCGTAACTACTAAACCGATTGCTTTGAATTTTTCCAGACGTAAAATTAGAAGTCCGGATTAAATAATAGGGTACTTTTTATCCCGGAAAAAAATTTGATATTCCCGAGGGAAAACAAAAGTATTGGTATAGATGGCGCTGTGTGTATTGGTATATTATTATGTCACAGGCTACTTTTTTTCCTTTCGGGACGCGAGCGAAGCCGCGGGTAAAAGCTAGTTACAATATGAATGAAAGGCGATAATTCTTTCAGTAGTTGATAGCTACCAAGTTATAAGTTGACTATATTTTAATTCGTTATTCAAGTTGTTTTATTACGCTAAATTATACGCGCGTCGTTAGCCTAAAGTAGGTTGCCGCATAAACAGAAACATGTGCGGTGGTGAAACTGTCCAACGACCATGGCATGACGGTGATGGTGCCAGTAATCATGATGATTGTAAAACTATACTCGGAATTTTAATTAGATTCCAGATTTGACAATTTCAGTGTTGCAACATTATGACAAGTACTAAATAGTGACGTTGCGAAATTATTCGATATGGAAATGGAATATTTCTGGATCGATTCTTCTCGTTTATAATTTTACTCTCGTAAACTAAGTATATCATAATTAAATATTTCTGAACCGATAATTTAGTTTTCACGATTAATTAACGATCTGAGACTTTTCTTTTATAATTGTGTGTGAAATAAATAAAAAAATGTAATCATGAAGGAACATGACAAATAAAACAGATAGATGTATTATGGTAATAATTTATTTTATAAATTGTCGCCGTCATCGCTATCGCTATCCTGTCACTTTCTGTAACATTTATTATAAAACACACACACTGATTGTCTATCGATTTTTGTGTTCATCACTACACTATTATATGTGGTATCATTATTTCACAAAATGACAGTAGTTAATGTCAAATCTGGAATCGAATTAAAATTCTGACTATAATAGTGACAGAAACTACAGTAATACAATTTCACTTACTCCTCGCAATATTCGCAGCGGAATGCCTTCTCAATCTCAACAACTCGTATGAGGGCGCGCGCCTCGTCCGCCAACTGAGACAGGAGCGGGGCCCCCACCTCGTGGGACACCTCGCGTTTTATAGGTTTCGACAGTTTTGGGGATTCTAGGAAAGATATGATATTTAATTATGGGTAGTAATAAAAGCTCCGACAAGAAAAAAATTGGTTGCCTGTAAAGTCGGTATACGGGCGAAAGTTTTACGTGACAACGACTTTGAGTGGTAAAATAATTTTAATGTAATTCATTCGTCTAGTAGGAAGAAGGATGAAATAATAGTAACAATTTAAAACATTTATTTATACAAAGAAACAAGACATGAACCGGTGTGTATGCCTATCTCTCTCACTCTCTCTCTCTCGCTCTGTCTCTCTCGCTCTTAGGCGGGCTAACTGTGCTCGAGTGGAAGGGACGCGTGCCTTTCACTTTTTATGTCTGTCTCTCTCGCTCTTAGGCGGGCTAACCATGCCCGAGTGGAAGGGACGCGTGCCTCTCACTCGCTCTCATTGTGAGCGCATAACGTGAGCGGAGCGTAACGCAGTTTCTTGAAGTGTCACCCGGCAAACCAATTTATAAGACGTTGTCACGTCAAAAATAATTGTCCTTACTGCAAATTTTAAATCTACTGCCTAAAATACTAACTTTCCGACTACTTTACATGACTGTTTATTGCTACAATACTAACCTAACCTAAAACGTCTGTTGTCTGTAACTTAGTAATTTTGTCGGAGGTTCAATATTCTATTCGGAAGTTTAGTTTTGTTA